CACAGTCCTTTCTCCTGCACTCTCCTCTGGGGATTTTGAGCATGCATACACACACTTGCCCAGTGTGTTTTTTCCAAGCCACCTGATCCAGCATTCAAACCATGCAGTTAGCCACGTTGTGGGATCCAGCTACCTTACCCACACCACTGGCTGGCTCCACAACACTTTTTATGACTTCATATTATGCAGCTGTGTGAATGAATCTTTATTGATGGTTTCTTTATTTTGTTGCCATATAAATAATGTTACAATAAATTTAAATCCAATCGGCCCTCATATCCATTGATTCTGTAGCTGCAGATTTAACCAATTGTGGAATGAGAATATTAAAAAAACCCAATAATACAACAATAAATAAAAGTAGTGCAACAATTATTTACATAATATTTACATTGAATTAGATCTTACATATAACCTAGAGATGACTTAAAGTATTTTGAAGGATATGCTCAGGTTATGTGTAAATACTATGTATGCCATTTTAGTTAAGGGACTTGAGCATGCAAGGATTTTGTATTTGCAGGGGGCTCTGGAATCAGTTCCTACTAAGGACATTGAGGGATAACTGTTAAATTTTTTATATGGTGAGGCTGGCAGGTGGCATAGTGGTTACGTTACTGGACTGCCACATGTCTGACCATGGTTTGAGTACCAGACCCAGTGCCTTGAAAATCATGCTGGGTGCATGCATGTGAGTGCCCAAGATCCCAGGAGGAGAATGGAGGAGAAGGGATCGTGGCCTGACCATAACCCTGGAGGGTGATTTCTCACTTTCACTCTTAGTGTCTCTGTCTCTTTCTCTAGCGAGCTCATGTGCCTTATGGCAAAAACCTCTTAAAATATTTTTATACAGTGGGACTAACAGGTGGCATGGTGGTTGGAATACTGGACTCCCACATGGCCAACCACAGTCCCAGACCTGGTGACTTACATTCTCTCTCTCTCTCTCTGTCTCTGTCTGATGAGTACATGTGTGCTATAGCAAATAATAATAAAATTCTTAAAATCTGTTTAGATAGTTAGTCTTAATGTTTTACTATTTTAGTAAGTACATGCATGTCAAAGGGATAAAAAGTAATTTCTTTTTCCCCCCTTCATAAATTCTTAGTTGAGATACTCTCCTGAAAACAAGTTAAATTAACAAGAGAAAACTCAGTAGAAATGTATTTAATGCCCATCCTACAGAAGAGACCTCAGTTCAAAAGTATCCCTCGAACCAGCAGTTAGCATAATGGCTATGTCACTGGACTCCTACGTAGTTGACCGCGGTTCGTGTCCTGGACCTGGTGGTTTAAAACTCATGCCGGGCGCGTGTGCGTGCGTGCCCAGGATCCCGAGAGGAGAATAGAGGAGAGGGGACTGTGGCGTGACCATCCCCCCTGGGGGGTGATTTCTCGCTTTCTGTCTCTATGTCTCTCTCTGTCTGTCGGGCGAGCGCACGCGCCCTATAGTGAAAACCTCTCCCCCCAAAAAAAGATAAAAAGTATCCCTCAAAGCTGTGGCTTGGGGCCCCATCTTATATAGCATATCCAACAACCAAAAAAAACCCCCAGTAAATTTAGATCAAGGGCCAGTCTCCAGTGGTAGGAAGACTGAGAAGGCAGGAAAGTTTGCTCCCAGTTCCTTTGGCCTTGCCCATCCTGAACTGGTAAATAAGCTATCTCCATGGTGATGGGGTATGTATGAGGTGGGGTGGGGGATTTATATCCTGCACTCAGGCAGACAGGGGAAAGGCGAAACTACCCCCACCCCCCACTCCCCGACTTCTAACCTTCTTCAGCCCAACACTCCTCAGTATTTTAGAAATAAATATTTTGGTTTCCTTCAATGTGATTGAATGTAGAGGTGATTACTAGAAAAGCTGTTTAGCAAGCTGTGTTTTTACAATCACTGTTAGATAAAGTCTCCTAGGAAAATGTACTCTGAAAATAAGTCTCTGGATCAGAGCCTGAGTTTGGTCACCTTTGGAATTTGTAAGAGCTCTTTCAAAAGGAAGTCAGTGAAATTGGAACAGCACTGGGAACAGGCATCATCCAGTTTGGTTATTTGGTAAGGCCATTATAGGGACCAGGCCTAGGCCTTGAGCTGGCAGGAATTTGTTGGGGGAGAAGACTGTCCTTTATTTTCTACTCCTGAATCACAGGGCCAAACCCTCGTTCTCAGGTATCAATAGAAACACTTCTCTGAGCGGTGGAATGAGTACCCCCAGTTATTAGCATAATGTGGAGGTAGGAATATTATAGTACATAGGCAGATAGACCAAGGATGAGTCCTACGCCAGGCACATGGGTACATTTCAGGGGTTTCCCTTCCCTCTGGAGATTCCCTGTGCTCATTTCCTATTTCCTGCATCCCTAGTCTTTCTCTTTCTTGGTTTATGAATTTTGGTGGGCCACATCCTTCAAGAGTTTCCTGTGAAACTTACAGGAAGTAAATTGGTGTCATTGTATCTCTAAAAATGTCTTCATTCTACCATCACTTTTGATTTCGTTGGTTGTAGAATAATTTTCCTACAGGAAGTTTTGGGCATTTCTTTATTGTCTTTTAGTTACTTATGTTGCTGAGAGATCAAAATCATTCTGCCTGCTCTTTCTTTTATGACTTGATATTTTTCCTTCCTTGGAAATTTAAAGAATCTTCTTTGACTCCCAAGTTTTAGGATTTTATGATGAAATGACTTCATGGGTTCTAGTTTGTCTATAGGCCAGAAATTTTCCAGAATTGTTTGGCTGTCATTTGGGCCTTCTTAATTCTGTAGAATTTTCTTGAATTGTGTATTTCTTCCCTTTCTGTTTTTTTTTCTAGAACTTCTGTTGTTCGGATGTTTGACCTCCTGAACCAGAACTCTTTTTTCTCCTATTTTATGTTTACCTTTATTTTCTTTCTTGTTGCTGGAGAGCATGTGTACTTGCCTGAGAAAAGAGAGAGAAAGCCACCCTTCCAATAAGCCAAGGTGAAGTTGCAGTCCTTTTTCCTCCATTTCTCTATCCCTTCATGACCCTGTATATGCAGGCACAGATGTCCAGCATACCTTTCAAGCCACCATGTCTTTCAAACTCATGTGGCATCTGGCTTTCCACGCATAGCAGGTAACCACTGCGCTAGGAAGCCAGCCCTTAACAGCTTAATTTTTTAGGAGATAGTCTCAAACTTATTTTCCAACTCTTCAATTGAACTTTTTATTTTCACTATCTTTTTTTTTTTGTAATTTTATTTTTTAGACTACATCTTGTTTTTGTTAGATTACATCTTGTTTTTGTTACAGGATTGAATGAATTTTATTCTCTAAGGATCTTAGTTCCTAATTTTTAAACTTTTCTCGGAATACTTTGATTTTTCCATGTTTGCTTTCCTTTCTTGTTTGGTTTTGGTCTCTATCTTTCATGTTTTAAAGTGGAGAACTGGAGAGCTATTGGAAACAGAGAAAGTAGGTAGATGTTGACTGTCCGCTTCCTGAAAGGTTCATTTGGCTTGGCCATATTGTTGAGATCTCCTGGTGTCTTTCTTCTTGGAATGCATTCTATGTTAGGGAATGAATTTTATCTAGTTAAATCTTCTCCTGTAGGGTAGAGTCTGGCTTGACAGAATTAGTGGTGCTGACTAGAGGGAGAGGGCTAGAGGTCCTTGTGTTTGGTCTTTATTGCCTGCTATTTTTGTAACTGTGCTTCAACTCTGTCATTGATTCTGCAACCTGTAGATCATCTCTTTTAGCATTTCTAGAAGATTCATTTAACAAGTGGATGGACAGGAATTCCTGCTTCTGACTTTTCCATTACCTCAAATAATGCAGTCTTTATAAACACACATGCTTAGAAAATAATCTTGTATAAATGTTTCTGTAGACTATTTTCCTGCAAATAGTCACCTAGGCAAAATAAATGGTGTTTGTGTATTTTTAAGTTTAATATTGCCAAAGTGTTGCCTCTCCCCCTACACCATAGGAAAGATTGTATGCGTTTGCATTTATATTGGCATTTAGAGCAATGTATAGTTCTTGGCAATGCCAACATGGAGTATGTTCAATTGCTCCCTTTTTTTATTTTCCTGTTCTAGTGAGCAAAAAAATAGTATTTGTTTTACTTTATTTATATTTATTTATTGGTAAATAAATTTGTATTTCTTCTGGGAGCTGCTATTCATAATACTTGGACATTTTGGCATGAATGCTTTAAATTTGGTTATAAATCTCTATATTTAGTTTGAAGTTTGATAAGTGACGATAAAAGTAAATTTATTCAAGAATAGTCACTCCAGGGACAAGCAGATGGCATAATGGTTACATTGCTGGACTCCCATGTAGTATACCGCAGTTCGAGTCCCAGAACCAGCAGCTTTAAACTCAGTCCAGGCATGGGTTCTCACAATCCCGAGAAGAGAATGGTGGAAAAGAGATTTTGGTATGGCCATCCTTCCTGGGGGGTGATTTCTCACTTTCTAATTTCCTGTCTCTGTCTCTCTGGCTAGTGCACGTGCCCTATAACCAAAATCTCTCTTTAAAAAAAAAAAAAAAAAGGTCAAGGATCCTTATCTATAATTTATTTTTCTATTCAGAATGCTTTTTTACATAGCTTTGGAATATGTTCATTTACATTTCTTAGAATATTTCTATATGAGGGGCCAGATTATTTTAACTTAATATCTAGTTATTAATGTTGCAATAATAACTGCATAATACCTTGTTTGATGTTGACTATCCAGTTTTATGTATGCAATCTTATAGCAGTTCATGAAGTTAGTTATATTTTGTAAATGAGGAACATAAGGCTTTGAGAGGTTAAGAAACTGGTTCAAATGTCTAGTGTACTTCTTTGATAGTAATAAAAAGAATGAAAATCTCAGGGGTGAATTCTGGCTCTACAACAGATTCATTTGGTTAGTTCTTGTGTTTATCTTAGCTGCATTATGAAGATGGTTCTTTTCCTTTTCTCAGTTAGTAGGTAATATCCAAAACTAACTATGTTTTTAGATAACAGCAGTACTATTATTATTTTTTAATCCAGAAATGAGCACAGAAGTGGAACAACAGCTTCTCCATCATGCCAGAAATGGCAATGCTGAAGAAGTAAGAGAACTATTAGAGTTCATGGAGAGGAATGAAATAATTGCTGACATCAATTGCAAAGGTAAGCTTTGAACAGATTTTTTCTTAACCTTTCTCTTATGACTCTGCAATATTCTTTTTTTTTCTTTAAATGTATTTACATTCATTCACTATACATCACCACAGCAAACAAAATGAGATTTCCTATCCAGAATACACTGTATATTGGCTTAATAAAGCACATCAACATATGTGTTATCAACAACAAACAATTATCCATTTCCTGTTTCCTGTATATTTTGTTATTTTTTGCCATTCTTAATTCCCTATCTCTCACCATCTGCCGTGTCCCACCCTCCTCCCACACTGTCTCTGGTATCCATGGTTGCTTTCTATGCCCTTCCCCCCATTTTATTTATTTGCTAAAGAACTTAATTAATCTAAATATTTCCAATAGCAAGCGCAGCTGATATATACATATCCATGAACACAAGTCTGACCCTAGGCATAAACCTCAGTGAGTAGAATGAACATACAACAAAGTAGCATCCAGTTGGGACTATATAGCTTACTGCAGTCCTCAAATATGCCTTTTTAAAAAGTTCTGTGAAAAATAGTTTTCATGATTTTTTTCTCTTGAAAAATTTTTTAATTAATTAATTTACATTCATCCCCTAATCATTGTCACAGCATACAAAAAATGGTTATCCATCCAGAACATACTGTATAGTGGCTTAATCATGCATATTATCAATAATTTTCCATTTCTAGTTTCATATATTTATATATATGTGTGTGTGTGTGTG